CCCCCATGACGCGCAGCCGCACTGAGCGTGTTACGCGTTATAAGACCCTACTGTAAGCGACACGGTCTATAGTTGTGGTGTCTCATCGTTACGATAAAAATAGGTCTTTGACAATGTGCCACGTCATAAAAGAACAATAGCGCGCCAGAGTCTACGAGCCCCTGTGGTAGGGGCAAAAAAGGCCCGCGTGTGTGTGTACATACCCAGCAACGCTGACGTCGATTAGACGTCGAAACGACGTCGCTTTTTACCATAAGCATCTAAATCGACGTAATTCACGCGTACGCCTCAGGCTTTCTCATTCTTGTGTTGTTTGAACCGAAAGGTCGCAGCGATCGCCGCAAGCTGGCCTAATTACTTCACGCGCACTGACTCACCAGCAAGGCAGATGGGCACGAAGGTGGTAGTCAGGGCGGCGAACGTGGCCACGGTCAGGCTGTCCACCTTCTTGACGGCGACGATGAGCTCCACGGTGCCCAACAGCGGCAGGATGAGCAGCGTGGACACGATGTGGATGAACAGGTCGGCGAACAGGAGGCGGGAGCGGCGGGCTGCCTCGACGAGCCGCACGTGATGCCTGGCGAGGAACAGGACGGCGCCCTGGCCGCGCCTCGCCGTGCGCGCGCTCTCGGCGCCCAGGCCGCGGAACAGCGCCGAGCACGAGCCGAACGTCGTGAACAGGACGGCGAGCATGGTGTAGTACGAGAACAGGCCGCTGAGCACCGCGAGCGTCTGCGGAGAGGACATCCGCGACGAGTGTCATGCAGTGGTCTGGACCGAGGTGTCAAGGTATTCCAAGCGGCGGTACCCAGTGCCACGTAACATCGAGAAATAAACGACACAACTTCTGTCGAATCGATGTCGAAACGACATTGTATCTTATGGCCCGCTTTCGAGTTCGACTCGACCAGAGACTATCGACTGCAGTGCGTTTGGCGTACGTGCGCCGCGTAGAGGAGTCCGTTGACCAGGCGACCGTGTGGCAAGACGAGCACCAAGCGCGCCACCGCCGAGTCCCCGCTGTAGACCGTGTGAGTGACGCCCGCCACCTGGGCCAGGCCCAAGACGTAGTAGAAGAGCGCCACGCGGTGCAAGCGCCGGCTACTCGCGGCCAGCTGTTCCTGGTGGCGCACAGGTCGACGTGTCAGCGCAGGAGAGGAAAGTCAGAAACTTTCACGAGGTGGGAACAGATTTCTTTCCCCGAGGGTACTTTCATCGTGTACTAGTACTACCTTGGTCTCGGCGCCGCCCTGGCTCTCGAGCTGCGCAGAGACGGCCACCATGGGGTCGAGCGCCGCGCGCGCGTCGCGCCCGCGCCACACGAAGAAGAGCAGGCTCCACGTGCACGAGTAGATGCCGGAGAACTGGCGAACGGGCAAGCGGCGCGCGTCCGGGCCGGCGGCCAGGGCGATGTCGGCGGCGAGGCGCAGCAGCCACAGCGCGCAGCAGGCCACGGACCACTGCGGGCAGCGAGCGCCTGACGAGAGCGGGGTAGGCCGACCCGCCCGGCACCCGGGAGCAACGGGACTGCCTACCTCCCAGGGGCCTCCCTCCCAGGCCTCAAGC